TTATATACTATTTATATAGTAAAGTTAATATGATAGTATAGCTAATATGAATCTAAAAATTCGAAAATGAATAGAATTCAAAATTGGAATATATTATGTAAAATATATTGATATTGAATTTCTTTGAATTTTATTTATAATAAATATTCTATATAAATAAAAAAAGAATATAGAAATAAATAATATAGAGTAGATAGAATAGAAATAACTCGAATTCTTTTCTAAATTAATTGAAATTAATAGAATGATTATTTATAGCCATTACATTAGGTCTAACTATTCCAAATTAATAAATAGAAATGATTTCTTTTTTATTGAATCTAAAAAAATAAGAGATTTCCATCCATTTTAGTTATCTTTAGTTAGTTATATAGAGCCTATCCGTTCTAAGGAAAAGATAAGAATCACAACAAAACACCAATAAAAGAAAGGGAAAGGCCCAATTCCGATCATAATGAAACATTCCTTCGGACAGGTTAAACTAAGACGAAAAAAAAGAATCAGACCGTTCGAGTATTCCAAATTGCATGAGAAAACGCTAGAAGGAAAGTCTCTAAAAAATATATATATGTGGTATATATCCATGTATATTGAATTGCGAATACAGAAAGATAGAATTATTTCTGATTGGACTACATATGAGTTATCTGAAATACAAATAGAAAGAAACATTTTTCAGTATAGGAATCGATATCTAAGGAATTCAACAGTTCCGGCATAATTCTCATAATTTTAATGAAAAAAAAAGAACATCCTAATGAGATTCTAATCTCAAAGAAAAGGGGGGATATGGCGAAATTGGTAGACGCTACGGACTTTTGAATTGAGCCTTGGTATGGAAACCTATCAAGTGATAACTTTCAAATTCAGAGAAACCCCTGGAATTAACAATGGGCAATCCTGAGCCAAATCCTGTTTTCCTAGAAACCAGAAGAGTTCAGAAAGGGAGAATAAAAAAAGGATAGGTCAGAGACTCAACGGAAGCTGTTCTAACAAATGGAGTTGACGACATTTAGTTTCGTTAGTAAAAGATTTCGTTTCGTTAGTACAGAGATCCTTCCATCGAAACTCCAAAAAGAAGGAAGAAAGGATCAAGGATGAGCATACGTATACTACTGAACTAAATTTCAACAATTTCATTGATTAGACCAGACAGACCCAAATCTCTATTTTTTAATATTTATATGACAAATAAAAGATGTGAATCGATTCAAGTTGAAGAAAGAATCGAATATTAATTGATCAATCATTCACTCCATGATAGTCTGATAGATCTTTTGAAGAACTGATTAATCAGACGAGAATAAAGATAGAGTCCCCATTCTACATGTCAATACCGACAACAATGAAATTTTATGTAAGAGGAAAATCCGTCGACTTTAGAAATCGTGAGGGTTCAAGTCCCCTATCCCCAAAAGGCCCGTTTAACTTTCTAATTATTTTTTGCTATATCCTCTTTTTTTTTAGTTGACATATACTCAAGTAATCTCTTAAAATGAGGATGATGCGTCACGAATGGTCGGGATAGCTCAGCTGGTAGAGCAAGGACTGAAAAGCCCTCGGTCACCAGTTCAAATCTGGTTCCTGGCACATGATTAATTTGTATGAGTATCTATTCCACAAATTCATTAAAATGAATATTGGTCAACATACATATTTCTTAATAGTCTAGATCATCATACATATTTATCCATCTAGGTGTCTGGAGATATACTCTTTCTAGATGAATAAAGAATATATGTATGTTCTATGTATATATAAAGTATGTAAAAAATGTCTATGTATATATAAAGTATGTAAAAAATGATTATTCCAGCGTTTTTTCTGCACTCCCAAAAGAATGTTAATACTTCTTCAATAATATTCAAAGCTTAAATTAGTTTGGTTGAAAAACCCAAAAGTCTAGTCTAGGACAATTGAGGGTAGAACTAGCCAAATAAATCTCAGATACATTACAAATAGAATCTGACGCCTTCTTTCATTTCTTTCTATTTTCTTTCATATTTTATTCATTTCCTTCGATGTTGATGTGCGCGGTACATAGTTCATGATGCAGAACTTTTTAGTTCATCCTATTGGCTCGGCTCATCCGAAATAAGTATCTTAACAACTTTCAAATCTCAATGAAGCCCTACTCGAATTTTTTTTAATCCCTACATTTTTTATTTAGCCGATCCATAATAACATGAATAAGACCTCAATTATTCTGTCTGATTTAACTTCAATTACTTTGTCTGATCTATAAAAGAACGTACAGCTATTCAAGGAATATCTGGCGTTGTAGAAGTGCTACGGATTAGTTTCTTATTTTTTTCATTTAATGAGCATCTTGTATTTCATAAAAATTGGGAGTGATATATCTTTACGCAAAGGCCATCCTATCCAACTTTCGGGCATTAAGATACGTTTCAGACGTGGATGATTATCATAAGAGATTCCTAACATATCATAAGATTCCCTTTCTTGAAAATCCGCACTTTTCCAAACCCAGAAAATAGAGGGAATTCTAGGATTTTTCCTTGAGACAAATACTTTTATGCATACCTCTTCTGGTTGATCTATACCATATTCTATTCTTGTAAGATGATACACACTGGCTAACAGTCCTCCTGGTGCTACATCATAGGCACATTGGAAACGGAGATAATTGTAACCATATACATATAAAATCACAGCAATCGAATGCCAATCCTCGGGCTTTATTTGTAAAGTCTCTATTCCTTGGTAATCGAAACCCAAGGATCTATGAACTAGCCCATGTTTGACTAGCCAAGCAGACAAACGACCCTGCATTTTTTTATCTCTCCCACATTTTTATTTGTATAAGTTTTTGTATAAGTATTTAATATTTATGATTACGATGAAATTTTTGAAGATTGTCTTGTTCTTATTTTGTACAATGCAATTTCTTATTTTGTACAAAAGGATCCTGCCTAATTCACCATTTCGTGGGAGGATACTGAACTTTTGTATTTGAAAAATGTTTCAGAGGGTATCTCTGAAGTAGATGGTGGTTGATAGAGTAATCCTTGATCATAATTGCCGGTATGAGTACTGCGCCCAACATGAAACTTGTGATTGGTAGTAAAACACCTATTCTCCTGTTGAGACCTAATTCGATCTTCGTAGATTTCTCGAGAGATTTTCTTACGAAGTTTTGTTATAGCATCTATAATGGCCTCCGGTTTAGGTGGACAGCCCGGCAAATAGACATCTACAGGAATTAGCTTATCCACGCCCCGAACAGTACTATAAGAATCGGTACTGAACATCCCCCCTGTAATTGTACAAGCTCCCATAGCAATAACATATTTTGGTTCAGGCATTTGCTCATATAATCTCACTAAAGAAGGGGCCATCTTCATTGTTACTGTGCCTGCTGTTAAAATTAGATCTGCTTGTCTAGGACTAGATCGTGGTACCAGTCCATAACGATCAAAGTCGAATCGTGATCCTATTAAGGAAGCAAATTCAATGAAGCAACAACTGGTACCATAGAGAAGCGGCCATAAACTGGATAGTCTTGACCAATTTGAAAGATCATTTAATGTAGTTGAAATAACTGAATCTTGGGTTGTTCGATCAAGTAAGGGAAACTCAATGGAATTCATAACTGTCTCAATGTTTTTTTTATTGTCTAAATATTCAAGAATTAAGACCATTCTAGTGCTCCTTTTCGCCATGCATAAATTGAACCAACAATTAGGATAAGCACGAAAATTAAAGCTTCTATAAATACGGATACCCCCAATACATCGAAACTCATTGCCCACGGATAAAGAAAAACCGTTTCAACATCAAAAACAACAAAAACTAGAGCAAACATATAATAACGGATTCGAAACTGTAACCAAGCATCGCCCATTGGTTCTATTCCCGATTCATAACTAGAAAGTTTCTCTGGCCCTTTATTAATCGGGGCTAAAATTCCAGAAATTAGAAATGCCAAAATAGGAATAAGACTCGATATTATTAGAAATGCCCAAAAAATATCATATTCGTAAAGCAAAAACATAGATGTACTCCTATGAATGTGGAAAATCTACCAGATTATTATTAGTCGATTCGAATTGGAATTAATTATCAAGTCAGCCATAACTGTTTATAATTTGAAGCAAACTGCTCAGTTTCGTTTGTTTCCTGTGGTACATATCTCATTTCAAGATAGAAATATAACCATATATATATATTTGGTATGACGTACAAAGAAAACAAAAAAAACTCTCGCATTTTCGCCTGACTTCGGATTCTCTCTAAAGAAAAGTAATTCCAGATTGAAATCCAATCTCCTTTTTTTTTATTAATTAATAATTATTATTAATAATAATATTAATTATTTCAAAAACAATTTTGAATTATTTTCGAATTGATTCTAATTATTATTTCTTTTTCTATTTTTATTTATTTACTAATGACTAATGAATAATTAATATTCATTATTTCATTATTCTTTTTATTTTCTAGTTCAAATTTCTTCTAGTTAAAATTTCATTATTTTATTAATCTTATTTGTTATTAATCTTATTTGTTAATTCTCAATATTTTCTATTTTAATAAAATATTGTTTTATTAAAATAGAAGATTTCAATAAATAATCAATATTGAAATTAATTCAATATTGAAATTCATTATATATAATATAAATATATATTATTGAAATATTCTTATTCTATTTCATTTGAAATTCAATATTGAAATTAAATAGAAAAATGAAATTGAAATTTCTAAATTAGAAATCCATTTTTCAATTTAAAATAGTATAAAAAATTTATACTACTATCTAATATAATACTAATTTACAGACTAATAATAAATAGAATAATATTAATATATTCTATTTAAGTTAAGATATTATCTATTATAAGTATAAGAAAGAATTTAGACTACTACTAATATTTAGGTATTTAGTAGTATTAGTAAAAGGAAATAAGTAAATAGAAACATTAGTAGTATTAGTAGGAATATTAGGGCTATACGGACTCGAACCGTAGACCTTCTCG